CTTGCTCAGTTTTGCCATGGCCAAAAATTCCCAGCCATCACAAGCCTCTGCAGATGATTGCTGCCAGAGCCACTAGGCTAGCATGAGACCTGACAACCACGTGCCAGCACTCGGCCACTGCAATCTCTTCCCATTGCTATGGGCAGTTGGGGAAGGAGACAATGGATGACCTGTTCTTTGAAAATGCACAAGGAGAAACCTAAACCCAAAGAAACACAGTGGGGTGCAGGGGTGCATCCTGTAGGCTCCGATGTAAAAAATCCTGTTCATTGGATATGTGGGCACCTTGCAAAAGTACTTTATCCTCATTAAATTGCATGAATCATCAATGCAATATATAAAACACATAATCTAAATGCAGGTGATGCAATGCAATGCAACACATGTACTTAAAAAACAAAACAAGCACAAAAACAAAAGTATTTCAGTGTAGGTTTTTGTGGCTTACAAATCAGTTCTTCAGAACTGATAGTTTTGTTTTGCCTTTGGTTGTGATGGAAACAGATTAGCACAGCTACCTTTAAAAAAAAAAAAGGACTTACAAAAAAATTATGACCACTGATATGTTCATCAAATTTAAAAGGTTTTATTAAAAGGTGTCCATGTGTGCACGCACAACACATACATGTAGATTTAAAAGATTATACAAAAATATAATGTATAAGTTTCATCAAGAAATGCCCGCTTCATTCACAAATTAGCATCTGTAACCAATGCAGACACTTTACTGAAGGATTTGTAAAATATATTGCCGGGCATCATATAAAGTGGTAGAGACTATCTTTGATACCACTCCAAAAACCTTTATTTTCAGCCACAATATCCAGGGAAACTGAGGGCCACGAACCCTTTTATAAACCTCCTGCCATCATTGTTATTCATTTTATTTCACCTTGCTCGTTTCAAAAAAAACAACAGTAAAACACACCAGCACTTGTCTTTCCACTAAAATCTACAAACAACAAGAGTAGTAACACCATGCACTAGGGAAGCCTCACATTTCATTGAAGAAAAACTGAAATAAGACTCCTCATCAGGAAATAAACCCAATGAAAGTGGATTTGGTTTATGTCAAGTTTTCAACAGTAAAAAGCCACCCAATAAAAACTGTACACTTTAGCACCATGATTTAGAAGCAGTCTACCTTTAATCACTGCATTTCTGTAAGTATGTAATATGCCAGACCATCTTGATACAAAACCTACACAGTTAACTAGAGATTGCTTCCTCTATGACTTCTTAGCTGGAATCATGTAGTTCACCTTATGGTGTGGTTAATCTCCCCATTATCTCTTCTTCTTTTCATCCTCACACCTTCCAGAATTAACAAGATTAAGCATTAGCCTGGACAATACTGTTTGGTTATAGAATTCCCATGCTTTCCTGTGTATGCATGCATGTACTGTATCTTAATAGTGAAGGGAAGTAATGGATCAAAATGTTTGAGAAGGGATCATATCTCAATGATACAGTAGTTTTATAAAAAGGGAAGGAAGGAAGGACACATCGTCTATGAGATTTTCACATGTCACAAGTTTCTGTGTCCAGAAGTCTTATAACAAAGTTACCAAACTTGCCCCTCCCTGTAAGATTCTTTTCAAACAGCTTGAAAAAGAATGTCGTTCGTCTGCAAAGATACATACGTGTATTTTAACCACTTTCCAGAAAATCTGAATACTTCTTCTCAATATTTCAGTTCACATTGTCCTGAAGCAGAAGAATGCCATAAACTAGGCATCCACAAATTTGTTCTGATTAAACTGCCTCTGAGGGAGGAGGGAGGCAGAAGAGCCTGCACGTCCCATACGATGAGGAACACTCAAGAAGTCATGGCTTACTTCCCAGAAACATTCCAGAGCTGTCTCAAGATATTTTGCTGCCTGGACCAAAGTAGTGACTGCCACACCTGGCCTAGCTGTGGCAAAAACAGTACCCAAAGATTACCAAGGAATTCTCAAAGGCTTTCGCGGTCAGGATCCAATGGTGGTTGTAGGTTTTTCGGGCTGTTTGGCCGTGTTCTGGAGGTTTGTCTTCCTACCGTTTCACCAATCTGTAGCTGGCATCTTCAGAGGACAGGAGTCAGAACTCTGAAGATACCAGCCACAGGGAACTTTGATACCTGAGGCAGAAAATCTTACAAATGCCTTTCTCCCTCCTTTTCAGACACAATAATAAACTTACAATATCAAATTAAATAGCTATTTGCTACTGGTTCATGCCACCCAAAATGTACAGCCCAAGGTGGCTGTCTCATTTTTTTCTAACAGGAAGGCCAGCCCTCGTGGTCAAAGATCTTCCTGGAAAGGATGGGGACAGTATAAATGAGACTGGCAGACAACAGTTACGTATTTGAATATTTCTGAAACTAGAACCGGGAGTGTAAGCATTTATTTATTTTTCCTCTGCACTGAACTCAACAACTCAAATTAAGTCTCCCAGTTTGACAACACTTGGTTTCAATGTTGCCTTGCTCCAGTGAGTCAGGGGCAGCTAAACGGAAAAACGTTGGTTTTTTTAGCTGCAAGGAAGTAGGTTCAAGCCCCAGGAGAACATCAGAGCAGTACATTCAGACTTAGTGTGTGTCCTTTTAATAGCGAAACTCCCTGGTTTCATCCTGGTTATCACAAGCTAGAACTGCGGATAGGATCTGTCTACAGTAAATCCCCAGACACTCCCTGGTTTCATCCTGGTTATCACAAGCTAGAACTGTGGATAGGATCTGTCTAAATCCCCAGAGAACTGCAACCAGGCAATGCAAATAATATTAAGATAAAGGAGCTCACAGATTGACTCTGCATTGCTAGCTTTGCGTCACTATCTTCATGGGGTGCAAGTATTGCCAGAAGCACAGTAGGTTTTCCTAACAGAGATGGCAAAGTTTTCATCCTGGTTATCACAAGCTAGAACTGTGGATAGGATCTGTCTAAATCCCCAGAGAACTGCAACCAGGCAATGCAAATAATATTAAGATAAAGGAGCTCACAGATTGACTCTGCATTGCTAGCTTTGCGTCACTATCTTCATGGGGTGCAAGTATTGCCAGAAGCACAGTAGGTTTTCCTAACAGAGATGGCAAAGTTACTTTTTTTGTGTACAAATCCCAGAATCCCCAGTGATCTGCCTGTTGGAAGCCTCTGAGACTAGCAGTCCAAAAAGAAACGTTGCAAAACCCGGCCTTCTTAATGAGACATCTTCCCAAAAAAAGTAGCCCCTCAGACATGACATGACATGACCATCTCTGACCTGTGTCTGAGGTCCTTAGTAGCCTAGCCAAAACATTCCCACAGAGAGAAGGGGAGAACCCCTGGATTTACAGTTCCACCAGTGACTCTTGGGTGGGCGCATAAACTCTTGGGGGGACCTCTACAAGAAGAAGCCCAAGGTGACTGAGCATACTCAGTGAGGATTGTGGGGTTGAGGGTGTGGGGAATGTAAAGGTAGGCCACTTAAGAGCCATGTATCCTTCCTTCACACTGTAACCCCACAGAGAGAAGGGGAGAACCCCTGGATTTACAGTTCCACCAGTGACTCTTGGGTGGGCGCATAAACTCTTGGGGGGACCTCTACAAGAAGAAGCCCAAGGTGACTGAGCATACTCAGTGAGGATTGTGGGGTTGAGGGTGTGGGGAATGTAAAGGTAGGCCACTTAAGAGCCATGTATCCTTCCTTCACACTGTAACATTTTACTGCAGGATCTTTTCCTAAATTAGCTACTAAGGCTTACAAAGAAAGTGGGCGTGTTTACTATCAAAAGCAGGGCCTTGTGACACCACAAGGCGCGGCAGTGTGTGTAGGTAGGGGGGTGGCGGTGGCGGACTTCAACCCAGGTCGCAGATTTCTGAGAGACAACAAAAGCCAGACCAAGCTCCGCTGTCCCCTGGGTTGCCCAGACCTGGGCTTTGAGACGAGGAGGGGCGGGCTGGGTGGCTCCAGTGACGCCAGCAGGATGCCAGGCTGGAGGCTGCAGGCGGGGGCATCGTCCGGGAGCAGGGAGGGGGAAGCAGGCGACTCGAGGCAGTCCCTGAGGCCAAGCAGCAAGGGGGGGGGCGCGTCGTCGGAAAGCGGACGGGCTCGGCTTTGCCCACACTTCCGCCTCCTCCCCCAGGTCCGCCGGTGTTCAACCCAGCCACCACACGGGTTTAGCATTAAAAAAAAGGGGGGGAAGCGGGGCGCTGGGTTCAAGGAGGTCATTCCAACGGAGAGGATTTCCTTGCTGTCTATAATGTGTGTGTTTTTGTGGGCGAGAGGAAAAGATGCTGTGTCGAGTGGCGCTCGGTCGTCTGAAAAGGACTCAGGACATGCGTTTGGCAAAACTCCAAAGAGAGGGAAAGGGGCCGGTAGATGCGTGTGTGTGTCTGTGTCTGTGCTTAATGGAGCAACTTGTACGGCTTTTGCCAGGAAGGAAACCCTGCGAAATTCTGCAGCGTGAGGTTGCAAGAAGGGGGTTTGGCAAGAAGAGGCGGGAGAAGGTGCCTCCGGTTTTCGCCCGTCTCCCTCCCGGCCGAAGGCCGTGTCGCTCTCCCTGCGGCGAAGCCTCACGAAATTCCGCCAAAAAAGCAAAAGCCGGGAAGGAGATCTAGCCTTCCCTGCCTGCCCTGCCTCCCTCCCGCCGGGCCCATTCTGCTGCCGGTGGAGGCGCCTCTGCCCGCCCCCTTTCTCCATCCATCTCCCCGCTTAGCTGGTCGCCTGCAGTTCCGACAATGCAGAGAAAGGGCAGGAAAAAAATGACAGAGGTGGAAAGAGAGAGAGAAAGAGAGAGAGAAAGGGGGAAAGAGATGAGCTTCCACACGGTTGCAACGCTTGAGAATCGCTCGGTACTCATTTTGCAACAAAGGTTTTTTTTTAATGGGGGGAGGAATCATTCCCCCGAAAAACCATTCCGATTAAGATGCAGCAACAGGACTAGGTTGCTCAGAGCGGCAAATGGGGCTTTCCTTTGCGGGGGGGGGGTCGTTCTTTTTTTTTCAGACAAGCCATTCAAGCAACAGATAGAGATTTACCTTCAAAATGCAGGCCATGTTGTATCCTTCCTTACCTCCCAAAGCGGGAGGGATCTGCTTTGTGTAAAACAAGGGATCCAGGCTGAGGCAGGAGGGTTGGAAGAGCCGCCAAACTGCCCGTGCCTACATTCCTGGAGATCCAAATAAGGAGCCCACAACAGTCCTCAAGATCCGTTAGTCATGCTGGTCTTTTTTTCGTGCCCCGCTTGTTCCACCCATCAGCTTCTGCCACTGGCTGGGCGCCAGCCCCGCACCTCCTCTCCGTCACGTGACGGGGTTTGATTCGTCCCGCTCTCTCGCTCTCTGGAGCTGGGGTTTCCTTTTTTTCTTTTTAATTTTCCTTTTTTCTCTTTTTGTTAAGTCGGAGCTTTGGCTTTGGGGCGCTTTCTCTCTCTGAACGAGAAGCGAGGTCTGTGGCGTGAAGATACCTCGCGTTTTGCTCTGTGGTTGTTTGCTTTCTTTAAAGAAAGGCATTTAAACGGTTATTTCCCCTCATCTCAGTCCTAAGGGAAGACTTAATAGGCAATCCTTTCTTTCCCCTTGCTGGTTATTTTAAAAGAAGGTTTCTCTCAAGTGTGTTGAGATCGCCACACACTACCGCACACGCACACAACCTCACAAAAAAAAAATTAAGAATCTCCGAATAGATACCAAATGCCACCCTGTAGACTTCACTGGCACACAGAACAAACTCTCTTTTGTCCCAAAATCCTTTGTACCAACAGCCTGGGGTGGAGAAAAAAGGAGGGAAAGCTTCACCGCGGTAACAACAGCACACACAACAGAGAGAGAGAGAGACTCTAGCTTTGCCCTGCTTGTGCCTCTCCTTGGATTCTGTCCTTCTCTTAGCAGAAAGAAAGGGACAAATAAATTAGTTTTGTTTCTCCAGGCACACCACAAGGTTTGGCAGCTATCTGGAACTGCTGAGCAACAGGACCAGAACTTTCCCCCAACTGGGCTCTGTCATCCACCTGACATTGCTGAGGTGATTCTTTTATTAAGTGCAGAAATAAGTGTGAGGTGTTTTGGGAACTGTGGTCCAATACAGTAACTTTTTCCATCTCTGACTAAGGATTTCAAGGAGGAAAGTAAAAGGCAGATTTATGAAATTAAGATAAAAATCATGCATCAGATCCATGTGTTTGCACCACTGCAAAGCCATGTGCTCGGGGACCCATGAGTTCTGTATTTTAGACTGTGAGCAGAGATGGGGCCTATGACTGGGTGGTTGTTTGGGGTGATCCTGCAGAAAAATCATGAGGATCTGTGCTTTCGATTTTTGTGCCATTATTTCTGTGGTGCAGTCTGTGGGTGCATATGGGACCTACGGCCTGACAATGGTTTAGGCAGGATTACATCTAAGAATCATATGAAATCATGTGGATCCATGCATTGGATGCATATTTCTGTGCCACTGCAGGATCATGCACCAAACAATTCATTATTTCTGCGGTGTAACTTGTGGGCATAAATGGGATCTCTGATTTGATAGTGGTTTCACAGGAATCCCACTTTTAAAATGAAGCAATCTGGGACAGCTCAACACTACAAACTGAGAGAAACTCCTTCAGTCCTGGCAGGGAAAGTGCTGGGTCACAGGGAAAATGGTGCACCAGCACTACCCCAAATGTACCCCTAAGCCCCACCATCAGTGTCATGTAGTGTCATCCTGAGTTTTATGTTCATTTACACCCTTTATAATAATTTAAACACTTCAAGAATTAAGGTTTCTATCACAACAAGCTGCTGCCAATTGGAAACTGATTTCCGAGCCACATCCAAGAGCATTCTCTCATCTGTACACAAAACTAGGACATATGCTGGCCAGGTTCCCAAGAGTACCTCTGGATTCCCTCAGAAGTTTCAGCCATCTCATTGCTGATTCCTTCCACACCCACTGTAGAAATAGAGACACCCACAGACACCTCAGCAGTCCTCAGTTTCCTATATAAGGGACCAAAACCCAAAGCCCCCTTTCATATACCAGAACTAATGGGATAATTCTTTTGGCTACCAGACAGTCATGTTAACTTCTTCCACCTGCCAAGCTTCAATGGCATCATGACCATCCAAAATAACAAAGACTCTTGAGCCATATTAAACACTAATGATTTATTTTAATCTGTAGGCATTCTGTGATCTGAGCACCAGGAGGGAGCTCACACCAAAACTTGAGGGTGGGCCGTTCTGTTGCTGGTACCACAAGCTGAACTTCTACATGAAGGAGGGAGCTCACACCAAAACTTGAGGGTGGGTCGTTCTGTTGCTGGTACCACAAGCTGACCTGGTTAAACTTCTACATGAAGCTCTAGTTGACAGACCCAGATACCAGCTTGGTCCCCGTGTGTACTTGAATGAGGAAAACAATTAGTAGAAGCATTGTTAGAAGACTGAAAAATGGAACACATACTATCAGGGATTTGTACACCTTTTCATCTCCCAGTTTACTATATGTAGCCATTTGCCAGCAATATCCTATTGTGGCCTGTGACAAACACGTCATGACCTGTGGAAAACGATAACCGGATGTAGATGTTTAATCTTAGTGACAACATTTTAAAAATAGTGAGGGTTTATCACTTTCTGCCATCAGCGTAGTATCATCTGCATATTGGAGGTTGTTGATATTTCTCCCGACAATCTTAATTCCGGTTTCAGAGTCATCCAGTCCTGCCTTTCACATGATGTATTCTGCATATCAGTTAAATAAGCAGGGAGACAATATACAGCCTTGTCGTACTCCTTTTCCAATTTTGAACTAATCAGTTGTTCCATATCCAGGTCTAACTGTTGCTTCCTGTCTCACATATAGATTTCTCAGGAGATAGATAAGGTGGTCAGGTACTCCCATTTCTTTAAAAACTTACCATAGTTTGCTGTGGTCCACACAGTCAAAGGCTTTTGCATAGTAAATGAAGCAGAAGTAGATGTTTTTCTGGAACTCTCTGGCTTTCTCCATAATCCAGCACATGTTAGCAATTTGGTCTCTAGTTCCTCTGCCCCCTCTGTGAACAGAAACAAAAGGGTTTAATTTACCAGGGTCAAAAAGCTGATTCAATTTAATTGCTAGTCCCAACTAAAGTAGGACCATTGAATCAAAAGAAATTTATTTTATATCGAATTGAATGGCGAACAGCGGAAATTCTCATGGGAAAAGTTTTCAGCACCTTTTCTCTCAATGCCCACATTAATCAGCTCTTCTATGCCAAGAGGTCTGCACTATAAACTCACTTTCTGTTTGCTTCACTACCTATAATGTTTGCACTTCTATTCTTTCTGGGTTTTCTGGTTGCTATATGAAAAAAGATTTATCCACTGAGTAAACAAAATCTATCATCCACAGGAGGTCACTGTTAGGATCTACTGCATCAAATGTGCAGAATTTCAGTCTGTAGAACAATTCAAGAGGTTAAATACTATATGAAAGTATGGGAGTGCTGAAACCAGAAGGCATTCATAAATGAGGGGGCCAACTTACCCCAACATTTCAGGAGTCAAGAAATTTTTTTTACAGCATTTTCAAATCAAGACAACATTGAAAGCAAGATGCCTGCTAGGTTTAGGGGTATACTTGTTCTGCATAAAGAAAGTTCAACATTTGGTATAGATATGCAGATCCTTAAGATGTACACTTACCTTACTTAGAGCAGATAAACAAGAAGATGTAATGATGGATGTAGTAAACCATTGTCTCTACAGAATGGATTTCTCAGCCAAAATCCAGCCAGGACAATAAATTGGTGCCACATGTCTGACACATCTTTGCCAGCTGTAGGACACATTGAGGTAGGACTACCTCTACTATTAGGTGCAGTAAAGTGGCTTTCCTAGGCAGTGAATCTAGGCAGCAATTTTTTAGTGTTTACTTGTTACTATTGTGTTTTTACTCACAAGGATGACGAGATATGTTTGTGGGATTTTGTTCCTTATATGGCAAAATAATTTATCTAGTTTGAGTAATATGGCCAACATTCTTTTGCAAAAGTCATGTGTGCACAAGCAATCATGCAAGTGATTTTGGAAGAATCTTCTAGATATAATCTTGTTACTAAAGTTCAGCCTCTACACCTCTTTCAAAAGTCTATTATTTGGCTGGCTTTGCCCATCCAGAAGTTCATAGAGAAGTGCTAGCAAATGATGAGCAAACCCATCCATCAACCTACTAGACAACATCTAAAACGGTGAAAAGATTTTTTTGCACACACGTCAAGCTCTAAATATTAAACCAGAAGAGGCTAGGCAAAACCTAGAGAGAACAAAAAAGAACACACCTTGCCAAATGGATGAATGCTGAAGAGTATCTCTTACAAGGATAAAACACTAGCTGGACCACCTGGAAGTCCCTTAATAGACTTAAAAGTGAAGTAGGAAGGTCAAAGAACTATGAAGCAAAATAGGACAGGATTACTTGAATAGAGGATAAATTTCTGTTGCTGTGGAGAAATTCTATCAATGCAGCACCTAGGTACATGCAATTTATGCCCCACCATGTGTACAAAAGAAGATCTAGCAAATGGCCAAGATAACACCGTAAGTAGCCTGCTTCTGGTCCAAAATAGTCTAATTATCTTTTAATTTTAATTTGTTTTTAATTTTACCTATATTCCTTAACATCCATGCTTTTAAATTGTGCAACACTGGATAGAAAGAAAGTTCAGCCTTTGCCTACTTTTATTGCTCCAGGGAATAGACAGATCAAGGTGGTTTTAAACACCCTTGCAGCCCTACAAAGGGATCTGCTAACAGAGCAAACCCATAGATAATCAATATTCTTATAACAAGTAGTTCCTCTCTGACTGTTATTTGTGCAGCTAGTCATATAATTGGTGACACAACCAATTTCACAAGAAGTATGCAGCTGGCCAGGGAAAGGACAACCCAACACAATTGCCCTTCTGCTTCACATTTTCCCAACAGGATTTTGGCCTATATATCTTAGCTTAGTGGAAGGCGCACCATTTCATGTTCAACTTCAGGCATTAAAATTACTTGGACTGACCATGCTTTACTGATTGCACCTTAAGGGTATGCAAGAGGTTGTATCGATTTCTAATTCCTAACTTTCTAGCTTTATTTCCATCACGAAGGTCCTGATTTTAGTAGTGACTAATTAGAATTATAGCCCTTGAAATCTTGAGTTGAGACTTCTGAAAAGCACATAGTAAGTTAGGCTATTTTCTGCTTGGCATGGATGATGCTAAAACAAAACAATAAAACAAAATAAGAACAACTAACAATAAAACCTTCATATACATGTAAATCATCCAGTCACACCTGAGCCACCATACACACTGGTTTTATTCAGAAACTGACCTAGAGACATGCAACACAGACAACATTGCCGTTGTCCATCTTCCCCGATAATTTTTCTTTAATTGAAAAAGCAAGTGTATAAAGCTCTTCAGGGTACTGTAGATCCTAATAGTGTTTTTTTAACTCTCCATAAACACTAATGGAAAGCATTTGTAGCTTTATTAGTGTCCCTTTACTGAAATTTAATAAGATCCCTCAAGGCACTGCAAGCCATACTATCTGCCTAGAAACT